GCCACTAAAACCATAAAGTAGTATGTGGCAAGATCTTTATGTATCTTTATATTTATCTTATCTTCTTCCACAAAATACTACAGTCTCTGTTTTTCCTTTTTACAGGTTAACATCATGCAGATAAAATAAAAACAACAATAATAACCATGCTACCCAAGCTCCGACACTTCTTGTGATGTGTGATTTCTGCAGAAGTCTTATCAGTATTTCCTTACCAAGGAAATGGAAACCACTGGCTTTGTGTCCTCAGTCAGTCACAGTTTTAGGAATATATGCCTTTAGCAAAGGCAAATTTGGGTGCCATCTCCACAGAGTACTCACTGTGCCTATCTGTGAAGGGTGACAGTACCTGACCTGGCAGAGTCCAAGCATAGCAAAGACCCCTGAAACATGCTCTGGAGAAACCCACTGTTCTATGCCAAGCAAAGGAGGAGAAAGTGGAAATCTTCTTTCACTTCACCCCACAGAAAATCTCTCCTGCTCCATCCTCTGTGGACTGACTTCCAGCCCTACATTCTCACCAGTTTTTCAAGTAAGTGCCTAGAAGCACACTGCTACCTGTTTTTTGCTTACTGAGTAGCAGAGTACTGAGAACCAGAGTTCTGAAGCATCCTTGTCCCTCCCCAGGTATTTCTTCATTTGTTTTTCTACTGAGCATCAGCCACTAATGAGAGAAGAAATCAAAAGAAATTTAGATCGTGAAGAATAGCCCCAGATCAGTTCTCTGCCTTTAACAGAAAAGGGAGAGAAGAACAAAGATACAAATCCAGGTCTGTTTGATGAGAGAGCTGTGGATCTACCACACCCCAAGGGAAAACCAACTACAGAGCAGCACTGATTAACAGCATCCTGTAAGAAGAATTTATGTGAAAAATCAACTGCGCTCAAATATGGATTTAGGAATATTTTCTGAAAGGAGGAGTTCACAAGTTGAGCCACATAGATTATTTTGTCTTCACATCTTTTACGAGGAATGAACTAAGAACACAAATGCACAAGCTCCACTATATAATGGTATGCTTACACAATGATCTGTTTAATTCCAAGTATTTTTCTGGCAGTGGTTCCTAAGTATGCATGGAACTAGGTGAAAGACCCACTGAATAGTGACCTAAAAAATGAAAAGCCACAGAAGACTACAACAGAATGTTTTGGTACATACATCAACCCTAAAATATAGGCCTTCAGCACAGTTAGTAAAACAGACTACACAACTTATGTAGTTAACACAAAACCATTTTGAGGATAAGCTACCGTGATTATTTTAAACCTGTTGGGGGGGATATTCTTTGCCTTCTTTCCACCTTTTTCTCTCATCCTTCATTGCCTGACATGGCAAATTTCATTTTGTGGTTAGGTAACACCAAAATTTGAATCTCTGTTTTTCTGAGTATACATAATCCTGATCTTCAGACAGGATTTAATATTATGTCAAACTTATGAAATGTAAATAACTAAAATTCTTGAAATGTAGCTAGCAAGGAGGAAAGAAAAGCAGTCCCCCCATTACATGGTGAAAAGCAGTGTCTGACTGGCACATTGGTCCCAGTCAGGTCAGGAATTTTCACTGAAGCCAAGATTTTATCTTCTATATATTTGCAGAACCCTCTTTGCTGCCAGAATGAGGCAGGTAAATACTGCAGCACGAGACAGGTAAATATTTTAAGCTAGGAGAGGCAATCCTGCTTGACCTGAATCTACTTTATTATACGTTGTCATAGTTGCTTTCCAAATATTTTGTTATCAGATCTGCCAAGGAGAGGAACCAAGCAACATCAAGCTGGCCTTTTTGGACTCCATACTCAGGCAGCAGGGCTGCAGATGATGCAGGGATGAACCTTTTTGGGAACCTGCATGTACACATCATGGCATATAAACTGCTGTTTCCTTTATGACAATGAAAATGAGACACAGAGAGACATCAGTCCTGAGGCTGTGGTGACTAATAAGTCGGATGTTGTGAAGAATGGTGAATTTAATGTTTACTGCAGGAAGGTGGATTTAATGAAAGTTTGTGCCTGACAGGTGGTTCCTGCGTGGGAGATCCTGCAGCTCATGAACACAGCACAGGAAAACTCAGCTACTGCAAAAATCCTGTGAAAAGTCAATGTGGAGGCCTGGAAAACAGTCTCAAATAAGAGAAATGGTGTCTTTCTATGAAAAGGATCAAGAAAAATATGAAAAGTTTCCTCTAGACTTTGGCATTTTTGGAAATAATTTCTTCCAAATCATAATTTGCTCACAGAATAGATTGCTTTAGGGCTGGGGTCAAAATATAAAATCAGAAGAGTGCCAAAACTCCAGCTGTTCACTCCCAAATTCTTTTTAAGGATTTAACCCTTTGGAAGTTTCTTCCTCATGTTATATTTGGATATTTGAGTTCAATCACTTTGAGAATCATGATGTGATCTTATCTTTCTACCATAACACATTGCACTTTCTAAAAAAGTACTGTTTAGGAAAACAAATTAAATTGTGGAAATGCAGGTGCATAGTACATACATAACAGAAGTTATCAGATCAGAGCTGTGAACACAGCCAGTTTACTTAATCAGGCAGCCCCTTCCTTCACCACTGCACTTCTCCAAAGCAAGTGATCCTTCTCTCTCCTGCCTAGTAGAAAAAATCTGAGAAGCAACAAAAGTTCTTATCTGTTCAGTGAAAAAAAAAGAGAAGCATCCAACTTTTCAATAATTGCATGCAGTAATGCATCATAAACAAATAGTATCATGGACTCTGAAAGCTATTAGTAGAAATTTGAGGAATTTAAAATGACTTTGTTAGTTAAAGTGGAAAATGTAACTCCTTCAGTTGTTTTTAGGCAGTACTAATAAGTTTTGCTTATGTGCCATTTGCAGTGATTTTATATAGCAGGCAAATTCAAAAGCTGAAAAAATTCCACAGGGAAAAGAAAGAGCTGAGGGATTCCTTTTTGTCAGGTAAAGTTCTCAGAAACATGGCTGTTCTATTGCGAAATAATGTGAATTTGCTGATTTTCTGAACAACAGTGTCTGGGAAAGAATAAAAACCAACTGGGAACAGACTCACAGTATTAGAAGAGGAATCAGCGATTTTCTTGGGCACTTTACTTAAAGCCAATGGAGACTGTGCTGTGGTTTAGCCAGGCTGCTCATTTGTGTACTGGTCCCATGCTGTGCCTGAACCTGCTGTGGGACACCTGGAGATTCAGCAGAAACGTTTCTCCTGTCCCATTCACATCTGTTTGAAAAAGCCAGACTGCCTTGCTCTGCATCGCTGCCATTAGGGCACTTCTGTGCAGGGTCATATCCCCTCAGGCAGAAAGAAAGATGGATTTCATTCTCCTTGCACCAGCAATGAGGCTTCCAGAAGCTGCTGAATTCCAGAATTTCTTTTACTTTCTTTTCCCCCAAAATGAACAAAATAGAATTTGGTGTCAAATCTTAATTTCACATCAAATTGCATATTTGCTTAAGTAGAGCAGAACTTTCTTTATATAGTATGAACAAGTAACTTCAAATTTGAATCCAAGCTAAAGTTCTGATTCCTTTCTGGGATACTGGAAAGATGACAAGTAACCAGCTTTGTGAAGCAGGATAGTGAAGGGAGGGCAGTCAGCTGTGCTCACAGCCCTGAGCCCCAGCCTACAAGAGGACGAGGCTCTGCCATGACGGCCTCCTGCCCACAAAGGGAGGCTTCGTGCCACATGCACCAAGGAGCACTGAACCTGCAACCCTTGATGGAGGCCACTGCCATGCAATGCTGCTACAGGCTGGGGCCCAAGCTCAAGCCTACCCTCAGATGCAGACAGGTGCACCAGCACGCCCTCCAGGCCTGCTCCAGTGCAGCCCTGCAACTTGTGTTACCTGCCAACACCAGCTGGCTTTGGTAGAAAGTTGATTTAAAATATTTCTAGGCTCTACAGCTCACTCCTACCCCCACGGCATTGCTGGCTGCCTCCTCAGCTGCGTTCATACAACCTGTTGCATTCATCTCTTTCATAGAAATTCGCTGCAGTCAGGTCACTGAAATATGTGTATTACAATAATCTTTTGTTGACGGAAGGAAATACATTTTGCAGGAAAAATCTCAAAAGTACACATAATAAAGACAACTTTGAACAGCATCCAAACCAAATCATTGCCCAATTTTCCATGCAGAGACCTCTTATGTTTTGAGAATATGCAAGTTACTTGCCCAGATAAAATCACTCTGGCTTTATTTCAAAACATTCCTGTCATATATGTCACATGTGGTGGAAGCCCCCATCCCTGGAGACACTCAATGTCAGGTTGGGGTTGCTCTGAGCACCTGATCGAGCTGCAGGTGCCCCTCTTTGTTTCAGGGGACGTGGGCTAGATGACATTTTAGAGTTCCTTTCAACTCAAACCATTCTGTGATTCCATTCTATGAACATAACAGTCAGAGAAACTTCTTGGAGATTTTTTTTGGAAACTCCAAGTAAAAATTATATTTTTTAAAATATGAATTGTAGAAATAGAAGTGAGTGGAGTTGCTATTGCTAAACTTAGATGTTGTTACTCAAACACTCCAGTAACATTACTAGGAAAAGTTTTCTCCCTCTGCTTTAGTGAAATGCACATCTTGCCCTGCAGTTAGCCAAGTGTCAGTCAGAAGCCAAAATCACAAACACTGTACTGATATAGAATCCCCACAACACAAATACAGTGAAAATTCAGAACAGTCTGATTTCAGCACAAGAATTCTGCAATATCTGCCTGGCAGCGCAGGGGCTGAGAGCAAGCTGAAAGTTTTTGGAAAGCAATAGGCGGAAAGACAGCACGGCAGAAAGAAGGGGAGGGGAGGGACAGTAGCACTGTCTAAAGCGAAGCTCTCAGAAACTCGCAGCTGATGGCCGGAAAGCGGGACTGCAGCCCCCTGCTCCCCAAGGAGAGCATCCACATCGCCGCCCGGCGGAGCCTCGTCCCGTCCCGCCTCGTTCCAGCGCCTCTGGGGCCGAAGCCCACGGCACAACCCGCGCGTCCCCCCGTGCCGCTCACCCTGCGGTTGCGGTCGGTCTCCCGCACCTCCTCCTCCTCGGGGCCCTGCCGGATGAGCGCCCGCAGCACCACGGCGTTGTTGGTGCAGCACGCTCGGAAGAGGCTCAGCGCCTCGGGGCTGTCGCGGTCCTCCTGCTCCAGGGACCAGCTGTCCTCCGTCTCGTCCTCCAGCCCCCCCGGCGGGTAGAAGGAGTCGTCCGAGGCGATGCTGCAGGTGTCGGGCAGCTCGGAGAAGTCTTCGTACTCCTCGCAGTCCTCCTCCTCCTCCTGCTCCTCATCGCCGTGCCCCTCGGCGGCAGCCCCGTCCGCCCCCTGTTCAGAGCCGCTCTCCGCCTCGGGCAGTTCCTTGCCGGCCCCCGGCGCGGGGCAGACCCGCTCCCCGGCCAGCTGCTCCCCGGCCCCCGACAGCAGCACCATGCCGCCTGCCGCCGCCTCTCCCTAGGCGTCCCGACGGCCGAGCGGGGACGTCCCGCCGCCTGCCCCCCGGCCGCCCCCGGGCCGGGACATGCCGCTGCCGGCAGCCCGCTCGCTGGTACGGCGAGGAGAGGCCGGTCTGGGGTGCGGGCAGGGCGGCGGGCAAACTCCTGGTCCGTAAGCCGATCAGCATCCCCGGGAGCAGATTGGGGCTCGGGCTTAGCGCGCTGACATCAGGGCGCATCTGACAATGCGATTTGCTCGGGCGGCGCGGCACACAGCCGGGCTGCGGGCGGCGGTGCGGAGAGGGGCTGCCGGCACGGAGCGGGGGCACTCCGCGTTTGGGAGGTGCAGAGGGAACGGGGTCCGCGAGTGGAACAACTGCGGCTCGATAGAGAGGTGCCAAGAGCGTATCCCTAATGGAAGGCATCTAGACATTAGACTGGGAGGAGTGACGCGTGCACGCTGAGTTTCTACATTGCCATAGATGTTTTGTAACTCTTTTTCAAATGCTATGGATTAGCACAGGGATCCAGGGAGAAAAGACCTACCAGTCAACCCAGTGGGATACTCCATTTCTTCACTCAGCACTTGTGAGGCCGCAACTAGTGTGTTGTGCATGATTTTGGGCCCCTCACAACAAGAAAGACACTGAGGCTCTGGAGTGTGTCTAGAGAAGGGCAATAAAGCTGGTGAGAGGTGTCTGGAGCACAAGGAGTGGCTGAGAGAGCTGGGATTGTTGCGTCTGGAGGAGGGTCAGGAGAGACCTCATCACTCTCTACAACTCCCTGAAGGAAGGTTGTGGCCAGGTGGGGGTCAGCCTTTTCTTCCAGATAACAAGTAATAGGATGAGAGGGAATGGCTTTAAGTCGCATCAGTGCAGGTTGGATATGAGGAAAAATTTCTTCTCCGGAAGAGTGGTGAGATGGTGGAACAGGCTGCCCAGAGCGGTGGTGGAGTCACTGTTCCTGGAGGTTTGCAAGATGTAGGTATCACACTGAGGGACATGGGTTAGTGGGCATGGTGGTGGTGAGCAGACAATTGGTCTGGATGGTCCACTAAGGTCTTTCCCAACCTTCTGTGATTCCATGATTCAGTATTTCAACAGCATCTTGAGGTGAACGTCATGTACATGAGAGGCTTCAGCAGTTGTCTGGGGTCCATGTCTGCAGAGAAGGAAACAAGCATTCTGCAGTGATTTGAGGCAGTGTGTGAGACATTTTTTAAATTAAAAGAAAGTATTGATTTAAAGTCACGCAGAAGCATGAGTAACAGGGTCTGAGTAGTGGATGTCCACAGCCTTGCAAGAGTACACCATACAAACCAGACCTCAGCACTGCCACCATGCCAGAGGGCCTTTGCCAATGCAGAGCTGCAGGGGGGGAGTGTGGTGTCTAGCAGAGGGATATCTGTAACCAGAATTAGCAACAGATAGTGCCCTGATTGGCTGCCTCTGCAAAGAGGCTAACCCGGGAAGAAATGGGATTAAACTGCTCCCTCACCTCCAGGCATCCTGGAGATCACTGCTTCATGTTTGAAGCAATGCTTGCACTGATGCTGCCCATCACCAGTCAAGCGTTCATGTAAAGAAAGGCTCCCTGGCACTGTCACTCTTATCTGTCTGCTTCCAAATCACATCTTTGGACTTGGTGTAAATTACAGCATGACAGCACTGTTAAGTTTCAGGGCTCCATTCAGAGAACTTTCTGTTTCCCACTCAGCTGGTGTGGCCATCTGTCCAGCTGACACAGTGCTATCTCTTAGAGCACCACTTGTATTTTGGAAGAACTTCAGTTTTCCTGATACTGACAGGGAGCATTTGCACTGCTGTCAGGCAGAACTTACCATAAGAGCTCAGTGCCCAGAAGGGCTCTTGCCTGTGGTAACTCTGAGCAGCAGAAAAAGTAAAAGAGTGAGTTCTAACAAAATAGGAACAAATATTTTCTTGCTGAAAGTTCAGCTCATCTGTACGAACCAACTCATCAAATATATTTACTTTGTGTCTTATAAAATGACTGCATGAGAATAAAGATTTATTTCATTTACTAGATTGTTTTTAAAAAATTATATTAAATATGTTAACAAAGATGCAGGCAGTGGTAGCTTTGAGTAGTGATAAACAAATTTCAGAGCACCCTAATTCTAATCAGGGAGATATAGAATTTATTTCAGTTTAGGGGAAAAAAAAAAAAAAGTTTGATTGTGAAAATTTGTGGATTTTTTTCTATGTTCAGTACATAGGTTATCAGCTTATTGCTGAAGGAGAGACAGATCAGCCCACTCCCATAGGTGTGGTGATTCTTCAGGACAAATGATAGAAAGTTTTCTCTCATTGGAGTTCAATGCTTCCATCTTTTTTTCTCCAAGAACAGTGCTGCGTTCCTCGATCTCTCAAAGCAAGGTGTCAGACTAATACAGAGCATGCACTATGTTTTCCATTTCATTTTTCACTTTCACAACTGCTGCTGAGGCTGTTGATTATCTCTGTGCAATGTGACAATGAGCAGCAAGACACCACTGAAGGGTGCAGCCTATTGCACACAGACCCTTCCTTGGCCACTTGAGATGATGCTGCAGATCTTGGTCCTGCCAGCATGATGCTGATCTGCTTGAGTACAGCCATATAGGTAAGCCAGATTGTGCTCAGTTCTAAATGCCTTCAATGGCATGGCAAACAGGGTTTCTTGTCATTTGTGCTTCAGTGTGCAATTTGAGAGAGAACAGTGTGAAGAAAGGCTATAGAATAAGTCTGCAAAATGCTTTCAATTGAACAGAAAGAAACTGTTTCCATGGCTCCTGTAAGAGAACAGCCTCAAACCTTACTTCTAGGATAGATACCAGTTAATGTCACTGGAGTTAAGTGTTGGTATTTAGAAATTTTGCAATAAAAAGAAAGAAATCAAGATTGCCATCTTAAAGCAAATAGCCTAGTATTATAACTATTTATCACCATCTCATCAAAATTTATTGTTGAGAATTAACAAGGCAGGAAATTATAATATCCAGAGCAGATCCTACCTGTCCTCATGCAGACAAAACTTCCTTTGAAAAAAATTTTTGTTGGAATGACAATATAGCATTGGGCCCCCATCATTTGCCTCATTAAGGTTTACAAGCCATTTCCTTTATAAACAGCTCTGAGGCTGAGATTTAATGAGGTTCATGTCTAATAGTAAAATTAGAATGAAGATTCAGTGAGTGTTGAGTGTCACATTCAATGATTTAACCTAGGGAAAAAATTCACGTACTGAAAGAGATAGTTAAAAATAAAATCTGGTCAGGACAAAAGAGTAGGTTTCTAGAAGAAAAAGTAAATAAATCCATTTAGTTGCTTGGATTGTTTAGGTATTTGGAATTTCTGATCAACAGGAATGTTGTTTATGTCTTATTTTTACCTGCAGGATGCCTATGTACCCTTTTTGAAATTTGAGGGCACTTCCCTCCTCCTCAGATGAGCTGTTTGCAAAAATCCTCCAAACAAGAGAAGTTGGGGCTGGCGAGACAGGTGGAAAAGATATTCAAGGTAAAGATGAAGAATTAATTTGAAGAGATCAATGAGGAATTATTTCCTGCTGATAAAAAGAGCCAAAGAGAGAACATTTATTTCTGTACTTACCTGACTGGAGGAAGAGCATGGGGAAGAGCATTTACAAACATGAACCTGGCAGCATTTACTAAGCCACCCACTCCACTTACAAAGTCCACCCCGTTTAGAGGGAGTAGTTTTGAAGCCTCAGTTTTCCTAAGCTGTAGCTAATATTTGATGCAAAATCCTGCTTGATCTGAGAAGTAATGTCTGCTACACGTGGAAATTACATGATGTTTCCTAGAAACCAAAGACTTGGGCTCAGTGGTGACAGCGGAGGCAGAGAATAAGAGATATTAGCAATCATCTTGCTTTTCTCAATTGCTGTTATTTTGGGGATTCCCAGTGTGAAAAGAACAAAAAACTCGCCACGTACTTTTTTGGACAGTTTCCTCAGAACTCTGAAAAACTATTGTTGCAGCATGCTCCTGGTAAGGCACTGAATGTGTTATGTGCTGTTTTGATGTTTTTGGAGGTGGTGAATAAAAGGCTGGCAGTGAAGGAGCAAGCAAAGTGAAAGGGGAAGTGAGATAGATGGAGTTCCCCATTGCTGCTCTTTTCAAATTTACTGTAGACTATGTTAATGATGAAGCTCCTTGAGGCTTCCAGTAATTCCCCAGTGTGGAACTTCTGTGTTTGCATTTCCCTTGATTTCTGAGGGAATTCCTTGGGAGAAAACTGATGAAAATTTATTTTTAGTGTTCGTATGTTGTTTCATTAAAATACTGAGGAAAACAGAAGTTTGCATAAAATCTCAGCCTTGTCTGAAGAGTGGATTCAAAAAATCCCCACTTCATTTTTGTTTATTTTTTCAGTTTGCATATTCTTTCTTAAAATACTTCACACATGCACACAATGATATTGAAATATTTTTTGCCTGAAATGCCAGGTTCTGTCTTTTTTGTTGGATGAAGGCTAAGGAACATAGAGAGTGGGAGAGCAAAATATTTCTCCAATTAAAAGTTTAATTTTCTTTTCCTGGTTTTAATATCTTCTGATAATATAATACTTTGCTAGAAGTGAATAAATTATAAAAATGACTAGGGAAATATCCCCTAGATGTATTTACTTTCTGAATTATAAATACTGAATCATCTGATTTTCTCAACTGTATTAGCATGCATGGGAAGGTATTTGCAAACTGTTGTTTTGCTTCTAGTGTAGCAGAACACTTACCTGTGAAAAGATGTCACTCAAGTGGGTATCTAAAAGAAGAAAGCAATGTAATCTTTACACTAAAATCTTTCATTTCTCCCTCACAGAATTTCTTTCTACATGCAAAGAGTAAGTCATGTATTTGCTTCACATTTTCTTAAAATAGTTCCTTTGACTTTATTGTCAGGTGAGGCAACCAGTAACAGGTTGTGTTGATGCTAGTATGAATAAGCCTGATGATGCTGTTTCATATGGACAAAATGTGTAGCACATCTACTCTTGCACTTCTGAAACTTAAGATTCATTCACTCCTCTTCTGTAGATTTTCCATGTATAAGTGGGTGCTATCAGCATTTCCAGCCCTAAATTTTGGCTCTGGGATGTTCAGGACATAGCATTACAGTTTGGAAGAGTTTCAGGTGGTATTTAACATCAAGCCATGGGTATATCAAATGCTAGCCAAGTACCACAGATAGGTGCCAGATATGTACCCCTGCTGTAGTCCTGCATCAGTAAACCGTAAGGAAGTCATTACTGAATTCATTCTAATTCAGTATTTTCTGGCAAACCCCGGAGAAAGCCTTAATATGTGACCCACTTTCTATTTCTGAAATACAATGTTTTTAATCCTCTTTCTATTTCAGTTTTGTCTAATACAAACTGGGAGTTGGTCCCTGCTATCTAATGCGATCCACTAGTGGAAAAACATTGTCATGGAAACAGAAACAGAAAGTAATTAAAAAATTTTCAAAGTAAAGAAATTAAAGACAAAGTTTAAAAGTTTTGCTGCCAAATGTATTCATTTCAAATGTGTTCATTTCATGAACACTCCTGCCTGTGAGAATTTGGAGCACTTTAGAATAGAGCTCGCACCATGGCATGCTTCAGCACAGAATCTGAGTTCCTGTTGTAAAGGTGAATATCGTTCTCATTTTATTGGTGCTGAAATTGAATTAGAGGGTGCTTAGATGCAGCAGAGCAATGCATAATGTGACTTTAAGCATACAAATGTTTTATTTTGACACTACTCAAATATTTAAACAAGTCATGGTTTAAATGGCTTGTCCAAAACTATATAGCCAGGAAGATGGGAGAGAGGGTCTGACTCCTTACTGAGATGTTTAAAGAAAGTATCCTATATACAAATAGCACATCTCCAT